CCTCTTGGGACACCCTTGGCGCCTGCGGGGGGCCTCCTCGCGGCGCCGCGGGGGCTCTTTGGGGGCTTCTCGGGTTTTTTTGGGGCCTCTTCGGGTCTCCCGACGCGCTGTTGGGCCGTCTAACGGCGCTCTTGGCCCGTGTGCCGCCTGCGGAGATCGTCTTTGGGGATTGGAGCCCTCTTGGGGCGCTGTCGGGGCCACTTTGCGAGTTTCTTGGGCTGCAAGGGTGCCCTCTGGGGGCTGTCCCCTGGCCATCTTCGGGGCCTCCTGGGCAGATGGGGATACGGGAGCCCACCTTCTCCAGCCATTTTGCTTTTCTAGCCCTTCTCGTGCTTCTCTTTGCCAAGGCCGCCAGGCGCTCGCAGGCTCACGCGCCCGAGGCCCGCCGTAGTCTTGCCGTGCGCGTATCCCCACCAGTCCATCCAGAACCGATGTTTCGGCGAGTTGGTCTGGTCGGGGAAGTACAGGGCATCGAGTGACGCGAAGAGGGGGCACCCGCCCAATCACCGTGACATGAGCTGTGGTATCTGATCCTTGAAGCTGGAGGGCCTTGCGTAGGGGTGCCGCGACGGCCTTTCTGGTTGACTCTAGTTTCCCCATCGTAGCGTAGAGGTACGAATAACGCAGGAGTCAACCAGAAAAACCTTTTGAAACCTTTGCGCGGTAACCCGGGAGGAAGCCAGTTCGAGGCTTCTTCTGGTCCGCTTGGGCCTTTCTGTGGGCGTTTGATGGCCTCTGGGCTCTCTTGGGTTTTTCTTGGGGCCCTCTACAGGGCCTTCGGGGCCTTCTTGGGCCGATTCAAGAGACCATCGATCAAACAAGGGCGGTTCTGAGTTTGCGTTCCCCCGTCGGGCCCTGAAAATTCTTGCATCCTTAATTCGTTTCTGGGATTCCAGGGCGAGTCGTGCGAGTGATTCTGGGGTTCGCGGTCGTGAAGACGTTCGACACAACGTAAACCTATGTACAGGGCTAACACGGAACGTACCTGCTATCAGGCAGCCGTTCCCCATCTTGCCTGAGGGGCACGGTGGCGGGGTACTGGCTGTTTCTTGCAGTCTTTGCCGCTGTGGCGTGGCAGTCTCCCCCTTCTAGGGGGCCACATGCGAACCCTACCCCTGCCCCCCACAATTTCTGAGGGGGAGGGTGGGGTTCACTTCGCTCGGGAGCTCTCGAACGAAGTGAACCCCACCCCCCCTCAAAAATCGTGGGGGGTAGGGGTAGGGTTCGCATTTGGCCCCCCGCCTTCGCCCCCTTCGGACGCCGTCCACACTAATCGACGCTGCGCTCGCCTGGTCCCCCGGGGGGTCCGGAGCAGGCCCTGGCCGCCCACAGGAGCGGCAAGGCTCCGGGCTGCGCACCGACGGCCTCCCCCTCGGGCAGCCCCGGCGGGCCTCGGCGCGCCAGCGCTGCCTCTGGCGTCTGGCGGCGCCCATGCAGCGCTCCGCGCCCAAGGGTTGGGGTGCCGAGACCGCCTTGGACTGCTCGGGGGCCTGTGGAGGCCAGCCCGGACCACCTGTGGGGGGGGGGCTGCCTGTGCGCAGCCCGGTGCTTTACCACACAAGACTCCCTTGTCCACCCTTTTTTACCGCTTCCAAGAGGCTGGCTCTGGATGGTCAAAATGGTGGGACAGGGCATGCCGAAGCGGATACAAGAAAACGGCGGCGGAATCGGACGCGGAATGTGCCGCACACAAAAAATGACGACGGAGCCGACAGAAAACGGCGGCGGAACAGGGAAGCAAAGCGGAGCAACGGAATCGGTAGATAACGGCCTTGCCTTTTCCACGGCCCACTTATCATTGCGCAATCTTCGCAGAGCAGACTTCGAACGGAAAATACGGAAGAGCCTTCTATTCTCTTATAACTTTCATTTCGGATTTTGTTGTGACTTTTGAGCAGATCTCGTTCGTCTGGAAGTGGGACTGAAAGCACCCACGTGAAATTCATTGCGCTCACCTCTCGCTGTTCCGGGGTGACTCACCGGCAGAACTTCACGTATCTTTCCACAGCAGCCCGTCTACCAGACCAGAGCCATGGCACTGGAGTCCTGGCCGCCCAGAGGACTCCCTGTCCACCGCCGCCAGCCTCTCGCCCTCGTCGCAGGCCGGCTCCGACGGCGGCCCTGCCGCGCAGACCGCGGACGTCTCGCTCCTGCGGGCCGACCCCGAGTGGCAGCGGAGCCTCGACATGGTGCTCCTCGCGGGCATGCAGCCGGCCGCTCAGCTGCCCCGATGCGCCCGTGCTGCGACGCAGCACGTGCCGTGTTCACGACGTCCGTGCGAATACATGCTGCGTGCCGGCTCAGCGTGCCGCCCCACGGTTTGCCGAGCGTGTCGCGCCAGACCTGCGTTTCAAATCTGCTGACGAACGAACAACACGCACCCATACCCATAGGGGGGACGAAGGGGGCTATGGGTGCGTGTTGTCGGATGGGGGTCCCCGCACGAACGGGAGCTTCCCCCAGGGTCCGACAACTCACACCCATACCCATAGCCAGTCCTCCTCCTTCAGACCCTCCTATGGGTATGGGTGTGTGTTGTTCGTTCGTCATCTGCGCGTTGGGCTCCGTGTTGCCCCGCGAAGTGCCGCGCGCTGCGCATCGGGGCAGCGAAGGCTGGCCGTGGTGCCGGACGGGCTCCGCGCGGACCGCAGCATCGTGCGCGCCGCCCTGCGCCAGAACGGCCGCGCGCTGGAGTACGCCGCCGAGGAGTGCCGGGCGGACCGCGAGCTCGTGCTGATAGCGGTGCCCAGGGAACAGGCATGGATTTTCATCCATAACTGGGAGCCGGCGGTAATTTCCGCGCGCGAGGGCGCGGTTTCATGGAGCAGGACTGGAGGAGAAGGAGCGAGGGGCAAGGAGATGGATGAGGCTGAGACGAGCAGGAGGAAGAAGGGTGGATGGAAGAAGAGGGGGATGCCGGGCTGAGGCAGCGGCAGTTGGCCTTCGAGGGGGGGCCCGCGCCGCCGCAGCTGGGCGCAGCTCGGGAAGCTGGTGTGTTTGAGAGCGTCTTTTCGTTCCCCGGCGATAGGGGGCGTGACCGGGAAGGAGAGGGGGGGAAGGGGGCCGGTCACGTGGCGATTCGCGCTGGCGCCATCGGGCTCATGCCCAGACGGCGCCGGCGCGAATCGTGGCGTGACGAGGAGGGGGTGGGAGAGGGGGGTGGGCGGCGCTGGTCACGCGCGATATCGCGCATCATGACAAAACTGGCTCTTTGGAGCCCGGGGGCCGATTTTGAGCTGCCATTGCTCGGGCGGGTGGTGCCCGGGGGTGACCTACATGGGTGGTGGTGGTGCAAAACAGAGCCCTACAGGGGGCCTTCAGGGCCTCTTTTGGAGCCAGTAAGGGGCCCCAAAGGGGCCCTGGAGGGCCCCTTTAGGACCCTTTTCTCCCCCCTTTTTGACTCGCCCCCCCACCCTGAGATCCTGGCGACTCATCTTTTTCGAGCCCCGCCTCTTCGCCCAGCTTCGGGCCGCGGGGCCCTCGACGAGTTGCGCAGCAAGATGGGCTCTCGGGCTCTGGTCGCAGACGTGCGACGTCCTGACTTTTTCAGGGTGGGGTCCCTGGAAGTCCCGACCCTTTCTCCCTGGGACCGGTTCTTCATCCTGAGTCGTGTTTTGACGGTCCCGAGGCCCGGCGAGGGCCCCCCGAGGCCGAAAATGGCCAGAACCCCCCCGTCCCGATTTTTTTCCGACGCGATCATGTCTGGGGTCGTGATTTCCCCTGATGTCTCATCATTTCGAAACGTCGGATCTCAGGGCAGTTCCACCCGCCTGGAGGTTTCTCCAAAGGGCTTTGGCGACCCGTCCTCCTCCTCCTCCTCCTCCTCCTCCTCCTCCTCCTCCTCCTCCTCCTCCTCCTCCTCCTCCTCCCCCCTCCTCGGGTCGCCCACGGCCCCAGGGGAAGCCGTGCACACCCGCCCGAGTGGCGCCTCGGCTCGCCCTGCTCCGCGAGGTGGTGGGCCACGGCCTGTCGCTCGAGCACGCCTCGGCCGAGCTCCGGGGAGACCACGAGGTGGGCGCGGCCCTCCCTGCCTGCGCCCGGCCCTGGGCGCAAGTCGGGTATGTCTTTCCCCAGACAGGATCGCGTCCCGTAAACAAGAATCAGCGCGGGAGGTTTTTGGCCATTTTCGGCCTCGGGGGGGCCTCGCCGGGCCTCGGGAGCGTCAAAAAACGACTCAGGATGAAGAACGGGTCCTGGGGAAAGGGTCGGGACTGCCAGGGACCCCGTATTGAAAACATCAGGACGTCGCATGTCTGGGTCTACATGAGGAGTAGAAAAAAATGGGAAGAAATTAGTCTGGGGAGGATGCTTCGATTATTTCTGGATCATCTTTGAAGATTTTTATTATTATTGTTGTTATTATTATCATTATTATTATTACTATTATTATTATTATTCTTATTATTATTATTGTTATTATTGTTATTATTATTATTATTATTATTATTATGATTATGATTATTATTATTATTATTGTATTATTATTATTATTATTTAGTCCGCCCGTAGGGAGGGGGACATGCCCGACCTAACCCTGGGCGGAGGCGGGCGGAAGGCCGGTGGGGGCGCGGCTCCGCCGGCGGATGGCCCGGGCCCGGCTCGGATCCGATGCGATCCGATCTGGCTCCGATGCTTCGAGTAGGGGGTGTCGACTGCAGAGTTGCTTTGCCCCAGAATGGTCGAAGAGAACTGTGCACATGCACCGGTCCTGGCCAGGCCCATCCTTGGCCCCAGGATCGGTGCATATGCCTTCCCGGCCAAGGCAGGAGGGCGTATGCACCGATCTTGGGCTCAGGACGGACCTGGCCAAAATCATTGTATGTGCATGGTTCTTTTTCCTCTACTAGAACGGTTTTCTTTCCCTCCCGAACCTCAGAAGATACGTCGAGTGCTTCGTAGATCCACGAAGCATGCTACGTAGTGGTCGAAGATTCGACGACAATTTCAAGTTAGGAGTGGAGTTAATCAATTCTGTAGTCGACCTCCTACTCCAATGCTCCCCTTCGGCCACGCGCAGAGGGGGCTAGGGGGAGGGGGGAAGGCTTCTTAGAAGCACCCCTGTTTCTTGGAAGCCTTCCCCCCTCCCCCTACACCCTTGTCCGCGCCGCCAACCCCTGCAGACTCTGGTTCCGGTGCGATTCCCTCTCGGTTTGCCGATTCCGATCTCTCTTCCGGTGCGGCGGATTCGCTTCGGGTTCTGGTCCGACGTGCTTCTGGGTTCCGAATTCACATCCGACCTGTTGCGCGCTGATGTTTTTTGTTTTCCCCCTGGTTTTTCACCGATCCGATTTCGAGCGCTTTCGATCCCGTGGAGGGTGGGCCTGGGCGCCCAGACGTCAGGCAATGTTCAGGAGGAGAAAAAACACACAGACACAATTAATCGTCGAGTCCCAGGAAAATATGGGAAAATATGGGAAGTGGGGGGGAAGACAAAAACTTAGAAAACATGGGGAAATATGTGGCATCTTTTTATTTGTGTGTCCTGGGGCCCCTTCAAATGTGTTTTTGTCCATGCGCGGCCCCAGAAGTCCCGACCCCTTCCCCAGGGCCAGTTGGTCGCCCTGGATATCCAGTTCGGAGGGCCCCGGGGTACGACACCGGGCCCCTGAGGCCTAAATCGAGGAAAAATAGGGGGCCACACGCGAACCCCACCCCTACCTGAGGCCGAAATCCAGGAAAAAGCCGCCCCGATTGACAAGAAGCATGGCGTCGGAGATCTGGGCGGACCGCAGCGGAGGCACGAGCGAGTACGTCGACGTGTTTGGACGCCGCCCCGGGGCAGCGAGCCGATCGAGCTGGAGACCTGATCACGAGTCCCCGCGTGCTGTACGTGAAGAAGCCGAGGTCTCCTTTGTAAACCTTCGGCCAACGAAGACGTCCGTAAACGAGGGTCCAAACGTATCTCCACCTTTACACCGTAACCCAACACACCAGTCAACCAAGTCCGCATCTCCCTCCTTGATTCCTGGTGCAGGTCTGCCTGGGAACGCAGCCCGTTTAGTCCTGCCCCTCGCGGAGCAGGCGCCCGCGCTGCGACAAACCATGCTTCGGGTCGGGTGAATTGTGCCCAGATGAGGCGTTTTAAAAACGGCCTTGCCCTCGAGGATCGAAGGAATTATCATCTCTTCCTCGGCGGAAGGCGGCGAAAGGGCCGCGGAAGGTCGGCGGAAGCATAACGAGGCCGCCTCCGCCGGCGGAAGCCGGCGGAAGGCTGGCGGAAGGCGGCGGAAGTAGAATGTGCGCACCCAAGAGTTGAAATCGTTTTTGGGTTCAGAATTTCCGAAATCGCCCATATGCTTGTACTATGTGTTCGGTAGCAAGTCGTGGGAGCCCGGTATACCCTCTTGATCCCGCCTTCAGCGTCGACTCGCGTGGATTGGGCGTCTGGGAGTCGATGAGGTAGCGCCGACTTTAGCGTCGCTTCGCGCCGATGGGCGTCGAGTTCGCGTCGAGGAGCGTCGACCAGCGTCGATTCGTGTCGATTCCGGAAAAAAAGCCGACGTCATGGTGTGGGAGGCTCCCCAGTCGCCACCGAAGGCGTGTGCGTCGCCCCCACCCGGGGAGACGCGCGCGCTCCCGCAGAGCCCCTTGCGCAGGATCCTGCCCGGCGGCGGGGCGCTCTCTCCGGGGCCACGCCGCCGGGGCAGCGAGGTCCACTGCAGACGGGCCAGTCTTCGGGCATGGGCTCCCCCTCCCAACCCACCCTGTCTTCTCAGGCTCGGGAGGGAAGAAAAGCACACACAGACACAATGAATCGTCGATTCCCCGAAGATATGGGAAACTATGGGAAGTGGGGGGGAAGACGAAAGCACAGAAAATATGGGAGAATATGGGGAAGCCTGTTCCTAGTGTGTATATTTATTTGTGGGTCCCAGGGCCCCTTCATGGGCGCTGGCGCGGTTGACGGGTCAAGGCCCGCGAGGCCAGCGTCTCCTTCGGCGCACGAGAAGGGCTTCGGGCCCACAGTCTGTAGCATCCTCACAGGGGGGCGGGTGGGTGTAGATCGGGGGCGAAAAAGAGGGGGGTGATGACTAGGGGGGGGTGGATATCATGGCGTGGGCCATGATATTTCCCCAGATCTCATGGCGCCGCTTCTTATTTCATTACGTCCCTGGCCCCCCCGCTTGGCCGCGCACATGCCGCCGGTCATGATTTGCACCCGCCCCTCTTGGACACCCCCCTCTTGGCCGCTCCCGAGGAGCGCAGGCAGTGAACATGTTGTATATGATCTGGTCGGGCGCAAGGCGTCTCCAAGGAGGACGCACAGTACAGCGGTGGGGGCGTCGGTTCAGGAATGTGCCCAGGAGGCCTCAGCTCCTGGAGTTCCTTCTCCGACGAGGGCGGCGGTAGAATCCGTGGCCAATTCACGATTGGAGTTCCACCGTCTTCCAGACCCTGGATTCCTTATCCAATGGTTCCTTATCCGATGCCCTCACAGTACCCTCAGATCAGACGTGACAAAAGAGTTGCAACGTCCACCCAAAAAAACACGACCAGAGCCCTGGACCCCATCTTTCTGAGCCATTTTTCGAGCCAGATCGATCTGTGAGGGCCCCGGGTTCTGCGCCATTTTTCGAGCTGGATCGATCCGTGAGGGCCCTGGGGCCTGGAAGCGAGCGAAAACGCCCGCTGCCCCCACCGCAGTATGTCCTTCTGCGTCCCATTGTCTTATTCATTGGTTTGCCGATCGGCGCGGGCCCTCGCACTGCCCCCCATGGAGTAGATCTTGCTTGTTTTTTGGCGCCTGTTTCGAGCAGTTGGAGTCCCTTCCCCATAGGACACACACTGTTGCGAACAGTCGCATTCAGCAGAGGTCCAGAGCCAGACCCCTCCCCCCCCTTCCGCCCAATGTCGAAGCTCGGAATAAGAAAACGCTCACCAGGGTCCCTGGGGTGGAGGGTTTCTCCGAAGGGCTTAGGCGACCCGTCCTCCTCCTCCTCTCTCCTCCTCCTCCACCTCCTCCTCTTCCTCCTCCTCCTCCTCCTCCTCCTCCTCCTCCTCCTCCTCCTCCTCTCCTTCCCCTCCTCCGCCTCCGCCTCCTCCTCATCTCCTCTCCTCCTCCCCTTCCTCCTCCTCCTCCTCCCCCTACCTCCTCTCCACCACCGTCCTCCTCCTCCTCCTCCTCCTCCTCCTCCTCCTCCTCCTCCCTCCTCCCCTCCTCCTCCTCCTCCTCCTCCCCCATCTTCCTCCTCCTCCCCCATCTTCCTCCTCCTCCTCCTCCTCCTCCTCCTCCTTCTCCCCCTCCTCCTTCTCCTCCTCGGGTCGCCTACGGCCCCGGGGGAAACCGTGCACCCTGGGGTCGGCCAGGTGGTGTTGGCTGCGGTCCGCTCCGCGGGCCTGGCACTGCAGCACGCCGCGCCGGCGCAGCGGGCGAGCCCGGAGGTCGTCCTGGCCGCGGTGGCGAGCTGCCCGCAGGCGCTGCAGTTCGCCGCCCCAGGGCTGCGCGAGGACCGCGACCTGGTGCTTCGAGCCGTCAGGCTCCCTGGATCTTCAGAGGAGTGAAGAAATACCGATGCTCATAAGTCGGGCCTGTCCCTCTACAGGAGGGATATTCAAAAATGGTCAAAAAAAATCAGGGGACGATTTTTGAACTAATTTTGATTAGTTTTGATTTTTCATGAGTATTTTCTAATTTTTCGCCCAAGATCCCCCTGCAGGGGGACAGGCCCGACCTAAGCTTAGAGCCGTCAGGCCCTGGTGATCCTCAGAGGAATAAACAGTACCGATGCCCCTGCCCTTCCTCGTTTTTCCCTTTTTGGGCTTCTTAGGAGGCCCTCGTCGCCACCGCTGGATTCGCTTCGAAATGCTGGTCAGAACGCACCCCAGGAGAGGTCTGGGGAGTAGCGATATCGATATCTTCTGGTTTCCCCAGAGTCGTGGCTCAAGAGCCGGGGGTTAACTCTAGGTCCCCTAGATGGTGTCCAAGTAGATGGGGTCGGAGGATCGCGCCGTATCCTCGATGCATCGGCGATGCGGCTCGATGTGGAGCCCGATGTTCTACACGCTGGCGTTACCGATGCATCGCCGATGTCGCCGATGCATCGTCGATGCATCGGCGATGTATCGCCGATGTATCGGCGATGCGGCGCGATCCTCCGACCCCATCTACTCCGACCCCAAACTGGGGTCAGTCAGAGCGCCAGATCTTGCAGGATCCTGCAGGGCCAGGGCCTGGGGGCTGGATCCTGCAAGGCCTGACTGACCCGGGGTCTGCACTGACCCGTGCCAGTTCGTCCCCGATCACACTCGACCAACAAAACAAACGACACCACCCCACCTGCGGCCCCCCGTGATGCGCTATATGGCCCATCGGGGGCCGCAGCGTGTACCACGCAGAAGCCCACGCCAGATCTCTTGGCATGCGCCAGGCCCCGTGGGGCCGTAGGTGGGGTGGTGTCGTTGCTGGGGGGAGTTCGATGCTCGTTTTGGGGACCTTCCTGGGGACCACCTAATGGATCTGTTCGAATCAGGTTCGACTCAAGTTCGACTCAGGTTCGACTCAGGTTCGACCCAGATTCGACTCAGGATCGACTCAGGTTCGACTCAGGTTCGACTCAGGTTCGACGCACGAGTGAAGCGAGTGGCTCCAGGAAGGTCCCCAGAATGAACATCTAAGGGGAGGGGGGGAGGGCTTCTTAGAAGCACCCCTGCTTCGTAGAAGGCGTGGGCCTTGCCCATGAATGTAGGGCCGGCGCCTTCTAAGAGTCAGCCTCTTTCGAAGAAGCCTTCCCCGCTTCTCTCATCCCGCGCGGGCACATTTCCGACGATGTAGTTTTGCGTTTGTTTGGATCCTGGCGTTTTTGCTCGATTTCGGTTGCCATGGCCCCTTATCGGGCCCCAGGGCGGTCAGAAATGGATCCTGGGCGTGAAATTACCCCCAGGGGAGGGGTCGGGAGCTCAGGATCCGCGGAGGAACATGTAAAGATACCGCTGCCCTTCCTCGTTTTCGCCTTTTTGAGCCTCCTAGGATTAAGTCGGGCATGTCTTCTGACAGGAGGAATATTCAAACATAGTCAAAAATACGATTTTTTTGATTTGTCTGGAATATCTTTAGAGTATTTTGGATTTTTCGTCCAAAATCCCCCTGTAGGGGGGCATGCCCGACCTAATCCTAAGATGCCCTCGTCGCCATGGCAGGATTCGCCTCGAGGTGCTGGTCAGAGCTCTCCCCCCGGAGAGGTCCGTGGAGTAGCGGTGTGGATATATAGTCGAAATCCACTGTAGGGGTGCGCTGCTTCATCAAGAGTACACTGGGTTTCTTGATAAGCGGGGGGGGGCCCCCCCCCCGACGGGGGTCAACCTCGCCTCGCCGTCGCGCCGCGACGGGGGTCGGAGCGCCTTCGGCGCGCGGTGGCTGCCCGCGACGGGGGTCGATGTGGGGCTGTCGGCGGGGGTGACGCCCCCCCGACGCTGATTAAGAAACTCGGAGTACCCTTGCATCCCTGCTTCTTTGGCCCATCCTGAGCCACTGTTGACGTGCAAGGAGCTCTAAGCTGTAAATGGGACCTCAAGGGTCTTGCATCCTCACCTTGCGTTCTACAGTGGATTTTGATGGTAGTTTTTGCTATGCCCAGGCTCTCGGGCCTCGCGCTCGAGTTCGCGGCGGACCGCCTGAGGTGGGATCAAGAAGTGGCGCCCCCGCCTCCAGTCCCATCGGGCCCCACCGAGTTGCGTTTGAATCTCTGGCGGGCCTCGTCCGTCCACGACAGCTGGGGGTCCCCTCTCGGGCCCGACGGCGGGCTCGAGGCGGACTCGACGCGGCCGCGGCGCGGATTCGACGCGGCTTCGACGCGGATCCGGCGCGGACCTAGCGAGTCCGACCTGTCCTTCTCTTCTTCCTCCTCCTCCTCCTCCTCCTCCTCCTCCTCCTCCTCCCCCATCCTCCTCCTCCTCCTCCTCCTCCTTCTCCTCCTCCTCCTCCGCCTCCTCCTCCTCCTCCTCCCCCTCCTCCTCCTCCTCTTCCTCCTCCTCCTCCTCTTCCTCCTCCTCCTCCTCCTCCTCTGATTCGACGCGGACGGGCGCGGCGGGACAGACAATGTCCCTCGAAGAGGCAGCGCAGCACCGAGATAGGGGGGGAGGTGCAGGGCGAGGAGCTTGGGGGGGCGGGTCACGCCTGCCCCCGAGCGCGACAAGGCGCCCCGTGCTCCCCGCGTTAAGTCGGGCAGGTCCTTCTACAGGAGGGGAATACTCAAACATACGGAAAACATAGTCAGGGAACTATTTTTCAACTACGTTAGTATTATTGGCAATTTTTGTTTTTTTTTGGGGGGAGGGTTTAATTTTTTCCAAAGTCTGCCTGTAGGAGGACATGCCCGACCTAACCCCAGCGCCAGCTGGGTCGGGACGCGCAAGACAAGGCGAAGGGCGCCCTGAGTGGCGGGGGGAGCAGTGGGGTTCGAGTAGGGGATCGACTACAAAATGGATCTACCCCAGAATTTATTCGTTCGCCGAATCTACGAACAATGCTTTGAAGGTTTCGTAGATCTGCGAACATCCCATGTATTTTTGGGAATTCGAAGAACAAGTCAAGTCCAGACGCTTCGCGTATCCCCACCAGCCCATTCAGAAACGATGTCCAGGCGAGTTCAGGTGATCAGGAAAGTGCGGGAGCATCGAGGGGGACGGCCAAACCGTGCGAAGGAGGGAGCAGGAGAAGGAGGAGGCTGCATGGATGGATGAGGGAGTGGGGAGAAGGAGGATGAAGAGGATGAGGATGAGGATGAGGATGAGGATGAGGATGATGATGATGACGATGATGATTGATGATGATGATGATGATGATGATGATGATGATGATGATGATGATGATGATGATGATGACGATGATGATGATGACGATGATGATGATGATGATGCTGATGATGATGATGATGATGGTGGTGGTGGTGGTGGTGATGATGATGATGATGATGATGCTGCTGATGATGATGATGATGATGAGGATGATGATGATGACGATGCTGATGATGATAGTGGTGGTGATGGTGATGGTGGTGATGATGCTGATGATGATGATGATGATGATGCTGATGATGCTGATGATGACGATGATGATGATGATGATGATGATGATGATGATGATGATGATGATGATGATGATGATGATGATGATGATGCTGATGCTGATGATGATGATGATGATGATGATGATGATGATGATGATGATGATGATGATGATGATGATGATGATGATGATATGATGATGATGATGATGATGATGATGATGATGATGATGATGAGGAGGAGGAGGAGGAGGAGGAGGAGGAGGAAGAGACGGAGTAGGAGGAGGAAGGAGGAGCAGGAGGAGGAGGGCAAGCAAGAGGGCCAGCGGTCTCTTGGATAACTCTCGGAGCCTCTTGGGGTATCTCTTGGGCGCTTCTTGGTGTCCTCTTGGGACGTCTTGGGGGTCTCTTGGCGGTCCTGGGGGCCGCTTGGGGTCCTCTTGGGGGCCTCCTGGGGGCCTCTGGGGGGCCTCTTGGGGCCATCTTGGGGCCGTCTCGGGATCTCTTGGGGCCTCCTGGGCGCCTCGTGGGGCCATCTAGGAGGAGATCGATCAAAGAAGAGGGGAGCTCATTTTAGCGTCGCCCCCCCAAGAGGCCTAAATGGGGCCAAAACCATAGTAAAACCAATTTTGGCTTCCTCGCCGAGGCCGTTTTGGACGCCGTGACCGCTCGCGACCGGCCCCGTCCAGGTCCAGGGGAGGGGGTAGGGGGGAGGGGTAAACCCCTCCCCGAAGGGGAAGAAGGGGGTTGGAAGAGGAAACTCCCTGAACCACCTACGCCCAGAGGGCTGGTGGGGTCCTGGGGTACATCGATTCTGTATATATGGTCGATCCCCGACTCGAGGGGTTGGAGCCGGCTCGGGGTCTGAGGTGGGTCAGCATTGGTTCGGAGGATCGTGAGGAGAACGAGGAGGAGCAGGAGGAGGAAGATGATCAGGGTGAGGAGGAGGAGGAGGAGGAGGAGGAGGAGGAGGAGGAGGAGGAGGCGGAGGAGGAGGAGGAGGAGGAGGAGGAGGAGGAGGAGGAGGGCAGGTTCGAGGCTCTGGCTTCGACGAGGCTTTTCTGTCTCCTTTCGGTCCCTGGAGGCCCTCTCCGAGAGCCCCGGGTTCTTCAGGAAGCGGACCGGGGCCCAGACGTGCGACGTCCTGATTTTTTCGGGACGGGGCCCTTGGAAATCCCGACCCGTTCCCCGGGGCCGGCTTTTCATCCCGAGTCGTTGTTTGACGCTCCCGAGGCCGCGCGAGGGCCCCTGGCGGCCGAAATTGGCCAGAAACCTCCCGTTTTTGATTTTTTTACGACGCGATCGTGTCTGGGGGGTGAAAGACTTCACCGGATGCACCCAGGAAGGGGTCCGGGGACCGATTTTGAGCAGATTTGGCTTCACCCCCTCCTCTTGACCAATGTTCTCGGGCCCCAGCCATCTCAGACCCCCTTGGCCGCCTCCAAGGCGGGGGTGCGCCCCGATTGGCGGCGGGAGCGGCGGGTGTGTTTTCTCGAGTGGCTGCTGTGATCAGGCAGGCCTGGGATGATGGTGAGGCTCGAAGGCCGAGAAGCCGAAGCGCTCGGGAATCCAGCGTCATCCACCCCCTTCGGTTTGAGGGCTCCATTTTATTCACTTAAGTGAACGGGCATTCGCATTCACATTCACATTCACATTCACATTCACATTCACATTCACATTCACATTCACATTCACATTCGCATTCACATTCATATTCACATTCACATTCACAATCACATTCACATTTACGTTCACGTTCACGTTCACGTTCACATTCACATTCACATTCATATTCACATTCGCTCCCTCCTCTTCCTCCTCCTCTTCAGGTCCTCCTCCTCCTCCTCCTCCTCCTCGTCCTCCTCCTCCTCCTCCTCCCCGTCCTCCTCTTCCTCCTTCTCCTCCTCCTCTTCTTCCTCCTCCTCTTCTTCCTCCTCCTTCTCCTCCTCCTCCTCCTGCTCCTCCTTCTCCCCCTCCTCCTCCTCCTCCTCCTCCTCCTCCTCCTCCTCCTCCTTTCCTCCTCGTTAATTCGCTCCAGAGCGTTCTGGAGCACTCTGGTGGGCTCCTGGGGGGACCGCGGCCCCCGAGGCATCCTCCAGACTGGTGGCTCTCAGGGATTCCCGATCTGTGTACACCCGGTTTTGTAACCATCCTCCCGCGTTCGTCTTGCGCGAGGTGTGACAGGAGCGTCGTCCTGGCGGCCGTCGAGGAGGACGGGCTCGCACTCGAGTACGCCAGCGAGGATCTGCGGGCCGACCGGGTCGTCGTGCGGACCGCCGTGATGTCCAACGGTCTGGCGCTGCTGGACGCAGCGGAGGAGCTCAAGGTGGACCGTGCTCTGCTGGCAGTGGCCCGCTGGGGCTGATGTGCGCGGACGGTTGGTGTGCACCGTGCCGCGGTGGCGTCTCCCGAGGAGGAGGAGGAGGAGGAAGAGGAGGAGGAGGAGGAGGAGGAGGAGGAGGAGGAGGAGGAGGAGGAGGGGGAGGTGTCGTGGATCCTCGACCCAGGACTGGTCCGAGGCATACGTTTCTGGCCCTCAGAGCCGAGCAGGCATGCACCGTACCGCGTTAGAGCGGGGCGGGAAGGGAGTCCAAACATGGTACGTTAATTGGCGCCGATGCCGATGCTTTTCCTCCGTTTCCGCCTCTTTGGGCTTCCTGGGTGCCCTTGTCGGCACGACTGGTTTCGCTTCGGAATCGTAGCCAAAATCCACCCCGCGAGAGGTCGGGAGTATGTTGGAATCGATACTTCTCTGCTGCCCAGCAGCTGCCGCTTTGCTCACTGCTAGATATGGTTTGAAGCAGTCCGACAGTTTCCGCGTGTCTGAGTGTACAAAGGCTTGATGGACTGAGTAGCCAGAGGCACCCAGAATTTCCTTGAGCTTCCAATCGTCGAATTATTTTAGGTTGTAGGAGTTTTGCGCTCTCTCCATTATCGTTTCCCCCTTTTTCGTCATCTGCTTCTTGTTCCTTCTTCCTGGTGCGAAGCCAGGACACGTTCGCTCGTGAAGCCTGCCAATAGTCTGCTTGATTATCAACTGTGCAGAAGCACTTGTCTTGTGCAGCGCCAAAAAGTCTCGCGACCCACCCTCTGATGCCACTGAGACCAGAGAGTGCGGGAGGATCGGTGCAGTGGCCTCTTCCTCGCATTCCTTGAGTCTTCGTGATTCTGTCTAAGGGTGTTCGTATTCCTTGTGCTGTTTTTCTGTGTATGGTTGGCTCGCACCACACTTATGTTCACTCTCGGTCCCTGCCAGCAGTGATCAATTGCGTGGGGCATGTGTCTGCAAGAGCACGCCAGCCAAGCACTCTCAACACGTGGTGGCTGCAGTTGCGCCGCAGCCCTGCGAGATAGCTCTAACTGTTATCTGGTTACATGCATTGCGTAGAAAACTAGGTACCGCACCTCATCATGAAACTACCGTTGAGCCATCGTCTCGCTCACGCATGCACATTTACAGGCTCATCAAGCGATTTGTTTGCATGTGCGCAGATGAGGCCTGTTGGGCACACGCCCCCTAGCACCTGGCAAGTCTTATGAGACAGGTTACCACATCTGTAGCCAGCATTTGTTTATACATACGCACACACCCAGACATCCGGCTGCTCCAATTTTTTCGATGCGTGGGCCTTCGAGGTCCGGACCACTTCCCCGGGACCGGTTTTTCGTCCTGAATAGTTTTTTGACGCTCCCGAGGCTCGGCGAGGGCCCCCGGAGGCCGAAAACGGCCGAAAACCGCCTGCTCCAATTTCTCTGGAGCGTCGAATCTCAGGGCACCCATCGAGCGTTTGCCGAGCACGGCGTGCACATTATCATCTCCCCCCGGAAACACACACACATCAGCACATGCACAACACAAGGAGTGCTCAACTTTGGCCCACAGGGCGTCACCCTTCCCCCCTTCCCTCCTCTCCTCCCGGCCCCTCTTGCTCTCCGTCCCCATGCAGTCGTCCGGAGGAGGAGGAGGAGGAGGAGGAGGAGGACGAGGAGGAGGAGGAGGAGGAGGAGGAGGATTTTTTCTATCTCATCCCTCGTTTTCCCCTCCCTCGTCTCTCGTCTCTCTTCTTGGCCTCCCGCACCCTCACGCTCGCCCTGATCCTCGCCCTCCCGCCGCCGCTGGTGCTGCTGGCGGGCGGCCTTCACCCCCCGCCTCTACCACCTCGGCGTCCTCCTCCTCCTCCTCCTCCTACTCCTCCTCCTCTTCCTCCTCCTCCTCCTCCTCCTCCTCCTCGTCCTCCTTCCCGTCTTCACTCCACGGGCGGTCATGCTTTGACCTGCTCACGTGTGCCAGTGGAGTGCGCGCTCGGGGCAGTCCTCCTGAGGGGCAGCGGGTCTTCTCTCTCCTCTCTTGTTGCGTCTCCCTATTGTCTCTTCTTGGAGCGTCTGGTCCTTCCCCTGTGCGCACTTCCCCTGCGCTGGCTCCCCTGTGCGCACTTCCCCTGCTGGCCTGTGTCGCTCCTGTTCTTCGCTTTAGTCTCACGCTGGGCGTGCAGGCAGTGTCCGCAGAGGGGACGCCGCATGCGCGCGGCCCGGGTTGCAGGGTTGCACTTGTGCCTCGCACAAAGGCTTCGGCATCGAATGATCGAAGGGTTGACCTCTCGCCCACGGCGGACGTCGCTCCTCCTCTTCCTCCTCTTTCTCTTCCACTTCCTCCTCCTCCCCCTCCTCCTCCTCCTCCTCCTCCTCCTCCTCCTCCTCCTCCCTCTGCTCATGGAGGAGCTGATCGCCGCCCAGGGCGGACGTGGCTCGCGGGCGTAGCCCCGCGCGGGCCGCTAGAGCGCAAAATCTCCCAGCTCTTGGCCTCCACGGGCACGTGAGTGCTGCTGAGATGAGCGGCCCGCTGGCCGCAGTAGCTCCCAGAGCCCCCCCGAAGTTTTTGTGAAGGCCTTCGCCAGCAGCGAGCGCTTCCGAGAGCTTCAAAGACGTGGTTTGGTTTCGGAATTCTCGATGGGAGGCTCAGGTCTGCACTTAGCGAGTGCAGATCTACCAGATAATCCCGTCGTTTTCGCTCCCAGCCGAGGTCGCGGGCGGGGGAAGGGTGGTCGTGGGAAACGTGGTTCTGGGGAGGGGAGGACACGATCGTCGTGAGCCCCCCCCCCCCCCGGCGGCTGCTTTGAGGCACTCCATTTTTTTGGAACCATGTGAACTCCTCGTGCTTGGGAGCCGGGCTCGAGCAGGCTGGTTGCGTACCAGCACAGGGTCCTCTCCAGGGCCTGTGTCGTCTTGTGCGGATGGCAGCAGGTCGTGCGAAGTCTTGCAGTCCGTGGGTACCGGAGTTGCCTTCTCAGAGTCCTTTGCTCAGTCAGTTCCAGCATCTAGCAGCAATAAGAGTGCTGATTGTTTGTCGACGAACTATTCGGATTCCACGAGCTTCCGACCCGATCCGATCCTCCTCCCAGCCTTCGCTTGCTCGCCCTCATTATCGTTCTTCCCCGTCTCATCCTCGTCGGAGATATTGCATTTCATCTTGGACAGGTATATTGTCGTCCCCTGCTCTTGACTGTCCGTCCCCTCGCGCTTTCTGCGGTTTGTCCTCCCCTCCTCCTGCTGCCCTTCGCCGTCGTCATCGTCGTCGTCGTCGTCCCTTTCCTCCTCCTCCTCCTCCTCCTCCTCCTCCTCCTCCTCCTCCTCCTCCTCCTCCTCTGTCCCCCTCCTACATATCACGCCTCCTCTCCTCTCCTCCAGTCCTCGCCTCCTATAAAACACCTCCCGTATATCACGCCTCCTCCTCCTCTCCTCCTCAGGATCCTCCCTCCCCCTGCTCCTGCTCGAACTTCTCGCTCTCCTCCTCCCCTTCGCCTGTCGAAGCCGACCCCGGTCCCTTTCTCCCAGAGCGCGTTCTGATGATGATCCAAGGCGAATCCAGCCGTGGCGACGAGGATCCCCCCCAGGCCAAAAGAGGGCAACCATCATCGAGGCTCTTCGACCCCGTGGTCGTCGTCGCCGCCGCCGTGGCAGCCGCCGCTGTGCCCAGCGTGGCCATCGCTGCCGCGCTCGCCGTCGTCGCCGCCGTGACTGCCGCCATAGCCGCCGCCGCCGCCGCCGCGGTGCCGCCGGCGCCGCTGTTGCCACCGCCGTTGTCGCCGCTGGCGCCGCCGCTGTTGCAGCCGCCGCCGTCGCCGTCGTCGTCGTCATCGCCGTCGTCGTCATCGTCGTCGTTGTCGTCGTCGTCGTCGTCGCCGTCGTCGTCGTCGTCGTCGTCGTCGTCGTCGTCGTCGTCGTCGGCGGCGGCGTTGTGGTGGTGGTGTTCGTCGTCGCCGCCGCCGCCGCCGCCGTCGTCGTCGTCGTCGTCGTCGTCGTCGTCGTCGTCGTCGTCGTCGTCGTCGTCGTCGTCGTCGTCGTCGTCGGTCGTCGTCGTCGTCGTCGTCGTCGGCGGCGGCGGCGGCGGCGGCGACGGCGTCGGCCGCGGCGTTGCGCCCGAGGTCCGAGGCCAGCGTGGCGCGGTGCGCGGCGCTGCGGGCGCTGCAGGCGCTGGCGCGGCGGGGCGACCACCAGGCGTCGTGGGGGGTGCCTCCCCCTCCCGCTCCTCCACCTATTCCTCCTCCTCCTCCTCCGCCTCCTCCTCCTCCTCCTCCTCCTCCTTCACCTTCACCGCCTGCACCTCCGCCTCCTCCTCCTCCTCCTCCTCCTCCTTCTCATCCTCCTCCTCCTCCTCCGCCTCCTCCTCCTCCACCTCCTCCTCCCCCACCTCCTCCGCCTTCTCCCCCTCCTCCTGCTTCCCCTCCTTCTGCTCCCCCTCCTCCTGCTTCCCCTCCTTCGGCCAGACGCGGCGGCGGCGAAGGCGACGACGGCGGCCGACGACGCTCCTACAGCGTGGCGACCTCCGCTTCTGCGTGCTTCTCCTGTTGCTCCTCCCCTCAGACCCAGGCGTTTTCGCCAGGTTTCGGACCCTGGAATCCTCACATATCGATCCGGCTTGAAAAACGTAGCAGAAAGGTGGGGTCTGGGGCTCCCGTCGTGACTTTTCGCGATGTTGCAGTCTTTTCGCGATGTCGGGTCTCAGGGTCCTGAAGGCGACGGCCACGCGACGTTGCCCCTCAAGGACTGGGCAGTCCTGTGGTGGGCGTCGGGGGAGCTGGAAGAAGCGATCTGGCAGGTGAGTGTGTGTGTGTGTGTGTTTGTGCGTGGGTGAGGCCCGTGGTGCCAGATCGCCAGCTGCCTAGTACCCCCGCCCCACCACCACCCCCAAGGCCACCTGGTGCGCAGCTCTGCGGCGAGGACGTTTGGTTCCGACCACACGCCCGCGGCCATCCGTGCGCGGCCTGCCATCAGCCGCGGGGCAGCCCCGCGCGCTGCGCCGCCGCCACCAGCGCCCGCCCCTCTCGCTGCCAGCCCAGCGGCGGGGTGGGTGGGCCTCACCGACACGCCTCCGCCGCCCCCCAAGGCGCGCTCCGCGACCCGGCCCAGCTCGCTTGCCGGCC